GGGTAGTATTTTTATTACGAATCACTTTATCTGTAAAATAAGTTAAACTGTGATAAATTGATCATTGAAAAAATAATGTTCACTTTAAAATTACAGGCCTTGGTAATATCTTCCTTCTTAATGATAGTTTTTATCTGATCACTGTACAATTTGGTTTATTTAGTTGTTAATTAATAAGTATTTATTGAGAACCTGTTATGCCTCAAGCACTGTTCTTGATTCTAAAGACATCTACATCAGCAAACTACAGCAGGGCCAAATCCAGCCCTGCTTGTGTAAACGAAGTTTCATTTCTATTTGTTTAGATATTTTCTATAGCTGCTTTTTGTGCTACAAACTTGGACCATAAGACTTGTAAACCTGAAATATGCATTATGAGTTAACTGAAAAGTTTTGCCAAACCCTGATCTATTATTTTAATAGACCATTTATAACCCAGTATTAATATTCAAAATGATGCTTTTAATCATCAAAATAAGTTAAACTATTCTGTGTGCTAAATTCACCTAAGAAAATGCTGTGCTACATTTTAGAAATTTTTTAAGTAATGATTGAAACAAAAAGGGACCAAGATGTCCTCAATTAATTAGAACATTTAATTAATCTGGATAATGTTTTCTATCCTAAATTAAGATTAGCTGTGCCTATTTAGAGCCGATATGATCACAGGTGGCATCAGAATCTTGGTTCCATCAGCTCAGTGCTTCACAACCTAATGTGCATGTGAATCACCCCGGAATCTTGTTAACTTGCACATTCTGATTCTGTAGACAATCTGGAGTAGGGGCAGATAATTCTGTATTTCTAAGGAGCAAGTGATACTGGTGCTCTACTCAGTGGACCACACTCTGAGCACCAAGAACAAGATAGCATATGGCTATTTTTTTTTTTTAACCTTCCACCAAAGAAGAAACAATGAAATGAACCAGAGGGAAGATATTGGGCCTTTTCATTCCACCTTAATCCCACCTTCCACCTTTGTCCTTCTCCCCAGGAAAGTTTTTTTTTTTTTTGACTCAGAGTCTCATTCTGTTGCCCTGGCTAGAGTGAGTACCGTGGCATCAGCCTAGCTCACAGCAACCTCAAACTCCTGGGCTCAAGTGATCCTCCTGCCTCAGCCTCCCGAGTAGCTGAAACAATGAAATGAACCAGAGGGAAGATATTGGGCCTTTTCATTCCACCTTAATCCCACCTTCCACCTTTGTCCCCTTCTCCCCAGGAAAGTTTTAATGGTAAGAGAATCTAAACCTTCCTGGAGCCCTGGAGCTCTCTAGGTCCAAGCAACTGGGTTAGAAAATGTCTAATTGTTATCTAAGACAGCCACCTTTAAAATAATATATAAA